CCTCAAGAACGCTCATAGAAGCTTGAATTTAACACAAGATTGTCATATGCTAGCTTAGAAACTCGTTGTAGAGCATTTGAGTGTTATGTTTGCGATGCTTTGCTTGTGACATAAATGAGTTTTAGTTCGAAAAAATATTCACTAGTAACTCTAAAGGAAGTCGTTGACACTACAAGAAAATCGTCATTTAATGACGGAAAAATCCATTGCTATTAAGTGCAAATCAGTAGCTAAAAGCATTTAGCGATGAATTTATGATAAAAAAATTCATTGCTAAAATGTTTGTCGCTAACCCCGGCGATGGACAAACAAGTATTCGTTGCTAATTTAGCGACAATTTTTCCATCACTAAATCTCTATATTTTGTCGCTAATCGGTCGCCATAACCACTCGCCTTCCCACCAAATATTGTGTCGTTATTACGTCACTAAATTCGTCACTAATTAACCTAATATAAAATATGGGTTTGTCATAAGAGCATGTGATTGAATGACTAATTATTTATATTGATTTTTGCATGCTATGGATAAATAAATAGCCAACACAATTGAAAAGAACCCAAGTGATTTTTTAAAACCAAACTACTCGCTTTATTGAACATCAAAAGATTTGATAAGTACATAACACCATATGAGCTTCATGGCATCGGCTCCCGAAACTAATCCTTTATTTTTTTATCCTAAGGTAGTTCTAATCAGCTACTAAGAGAAGAACTACTATTTAAGAGATACAAACGCAAGTAATTACAATTTAAGCAATTCTACACCAAATTGCCCAATACTTCATTCCTTACATCCTTAGCTCCTCCTCCTAGTAAGCTTACTCATCATCATCTCCTCCCGCATAACAACTACCAAACAAGACAATTAACACAAGACTCTAGAAAAACCCTCAAATAAATAATACAAGTTTGAATCCGAGTTTTGATTTGAAACCTACATCCCCATCATTTTCGTCCTCCTCATCATCATTCACTTTCAATTTGGACTTGTCAAATTCATCATCAATGTTTCCTCCAACCTAGAAAAACCTACTAGAAACTAATCATTTCCATAACAAACTACAATTCAATAATTATACTCCATAAAAGCACAACTTAAAAAACAAAAGGTTATCAATAACGTAAAATATACCAATCTTTTGTTGTAAGTAGCCATGTCCTTGTTGTATTAAGTATTCTCTTATTAGCTTTAGCCATAAAAAGAGCTTTCTCCCGATATTATTAACAAATTTTAAACCTAATAAAAAAATAAAAGAGAGAGAGGACTAACCAAATTAGAGGAGGGAGAGGAGAGACCGTCGCAGATAGTTTCAACATAACTTTTGGGGAGAGAGGAGCACCTTGTCGAAATGAGTGGGTTGGGGAGGGAGTGGGGTGGGGTGGTGTAGGGCGGTGGTTGGGGCTAGTGGGGGCGGCGACGGGAGAGGAGAAGGGGAGGAGGAGAGGGAAAGGGGGAAAATTATGGGGAAAAGATAGGGCCTAGCAAGTTTTAGGGATTTAGGATTAGCAATGGACGCAATTCCATCGCTAATCGTCACTAATTTGCGATAGACATAAGTATCCGTCGCTAATTTGAGTTTTAAATGAGCGTCCAATTTTCTAAACTTTTCAAAAAATTGGGCAATTAGTGACGAAATAAATTTCATTGCTAATCGTTGCCAATTAACGACGAAAATAAGTATCCGTCGCTAATTTGAATTTTAAATGAAAGCTCGATTTTCTAAACTTTAAAAAAATTTAGGCAATTAGTAACATAATTAATTATGTCACTAAATTCCCTCGATAATCCGTCATTGAAATTAGCCCATATTTTTACCGCATGTTTTAGTGATGAAATTTTTTCCGTCGCAAATCAGTAGCGAGTCCATCATAAATTGTTGCATTTTCAATTTTATCGTTATTCAATCACTATTCGGTAGGTAATTAGCAACGAAATATAATTCGTCTCTAATTGCCTATTTTCTCGTAGTGTGAAATACTAATTGGTGCACTAAAATTATTTTGTAGAAAACAAAAAGGGGATTGTTGTATTTTTTGAAAAAAATAGCCTTAGTCTTTTTATTGTTAATTAATTAATAACATCGATATCTTGCATTTACTAGGAACAATTTATAAAACCAATTTATTTGATTTAAACGGCTGTTTAAATGATTTAATAAAAAAATGTGTAAGGTTTTTCAATTTCATTAAGACATTATCACCAACAGCTATTTGCTTTACTGTGGTTCATTACTTTGTCTAGTCTAGGGCCGGCACACATATATTATAATGCATGCTTTATCTGGATAGATGATGGAATATATGATAATATTTATTTTTTTAACATGTGTCATTACGCTTATTTATTTTATTATATTTGTTGTACTTTATGTTATGGTCCTTGGATAAAGAAAAGTACTATTTTGATATTAGAGAGCTTCTTTTTCTATAAGCCGTGCATTCTTATAATATTATAATAAATATGGTAGGGTTATTGTATTCATGAGATGATGCATAATCAATTATTGATTGGTTACATAGGATAAATTTTACAAACAACACGTACTGTCTTAAAAGGGCAACCAGGTTTATTTCTTAATCTAGTCATTTTTAACTTTTTCAATTATAATGATTTTGACATTTTAATCATCGTTGTACTATAAAACTTAATAGCATGATTTTAATCTCTAACAACCATATGCAATGAATAAAATAAAATTCAAATTCTTTTGTATATTTTATTTTACAATGAATTTATTTATTTTAATATGATTTTTATTATTTAACTATTTTTATACGTTCGGAACAACACAATTGGCGATACAAATCCTCGCTTTACAAATTAAAGAATCTAATTTGGATTTGTCCAACGGTGGCTGTCCACGAAATATAAGTAAATTTTAGGATAATAAGATAAATCACTAGAATCTAAATCTATAGGCTTAAGCGTCCAAGAAAAAGGAAATAAAACCACCGAGGTGACATATACATAAACACTTTTGGTTATTTGTTTAGAGTGAACTGGCAATAATTCTGCGAAAAAGATTTTTTTTTTTTATATGAATACATTATAATAGCTTATTATAGATTAATCTGAAAAGAATCAGTTTTGATAAACGGTAATGTATCTATTTATTTTTATGTATTGAACATAATTTCACATATATTCTTTTAATAATTTTTCTCTTTGATAAGTCATTGTATATTATAGATAACAATAAACGAATATCCAATCTATTAATTTAATTTTTTATCCTATTCATAAAAAAAATACCCTACTCATTATTCATTAAAAATTTACTATATAAATCTTTACTTAGTTTATACCGATCCATACTAATTTACTCGTCCATTTAATATCCATTAAATACTTGCTAAATTTAATTTATGAAAAATATTCATTTTAGTACTTATAATTTTTTAAAAAGTTTTTTCAATCCTTAAATTTTATTTTATTTTTTACATTTTGGCCATTTATTTATAAGTTTTTTTTATCCTCAAAGTTTTTTTTAAAATATTTTGATTTTTAATTTTAAAATTTTATGCAATTAAATCCCTATATGTTAATAAAAAATCTAAATAAATTAGTGGGTATTAATAGGATAAAGAGCGGGTATCCATATCCCGAAATCATATTAGTGGATATATATTTTTTTATTCTTATCTACTTCAATACCCATTAGATATTTTTAATAGGTATTTATTGGGTCGGATAAAGTAGGCATCCATTTTATACCCGACCCATTGCCATTCCTATTGTATATTCATGTTTTTTTCTCAACATTATTTTTTCTACTTTCTAGACAAAAATGATCCTTTGGACCAAAAAAAAAAATTTCAAAACACACAACATTAAATTTTAAATACCAAAAAAAAAAAAAATCAATTAAAAAATTGAAAAAACTTGGAACATTCTATAAAATGAAATAACCTATACAAAATTATATAAAAACATTCGTTGCTAATGAAAATTCTATGGTCTTGCTATTATATACATATTTCTATTTACAAGACTTTATAGACATAATTTTTCCATTTTTTAGATTTGACAAGCGAACATTATTTTTAAAAAAAATTCAAATTTATTTTTTCCTAGGTTTTTCTGATGTTTTTATGTTTTATAGGGTTGTTTTCTCTAGGTTTAAAAATATTTTAAAGTATTTTTTTAGACTTTTAAAAAATTAAATTTTCTTTTAAACGGTTGTTAGGCATTTTGATCTAAAAAGTGACAAAAAGAACATATAAGAGAAAACAGGAATATATAAGGACATTTAAAAGAATTATTTCTTAAAACATATAACAAAACACACTCAATATTTGATGTATCATTTAACCCTGTAAAAGAAAGTTAACTGATAGATACCTAAATTGTTAAAATAAATGTGCGGATGTTGTGTGACGTGAAGCTTTGTTGTTGCATCGAGTTGCTTGTTGACTTGTTATTGAACGAGATATATTTAGATCAATCATAGTGAAATGGATAGGTAACCATATAAGCGAAAGAAATCATACACTTATCACTTGTCGATGTTTAGAAAAGTCTGAGGACTTCGAAATGCGAAAACAATGCCATTGAAAATGACAATTTACTCTTATCTTTGGATGCTCTCGAAACTGACTTACATCAAGAATAAACATCTGACTATTAGCTCAATATGATTGCATTATCTAACAAATGCTATTTCTGTCTTTTCAACAAAATATTCTTCACGTAATCATGTTCTTATTTTTGTTAAAGGTAAAGTAGATGACAATCATCATAATTCTTAATCTTCTATGCTCTTTTTGGGACGCGTTTGATGTCTCCATCTCTCGATTACAACATCTCTACTAAGTTGGATGAATGTCGAAATTTGAAAGGATCATACCATGTCTATGCATGTGAAACATGATTCAACAGTCAAAATTTGGACGTGGTGCCAGTCAACTATATATGTACGTAGTTAAGAAATGAGTTTGGATAAATGTAATTTGGAGATAGTGGGAACTTGACTAGAAGCTAGCTTGCGATGACTAAGTGTTACGCAGCCAGGATGTGATCATGCTTGGTTAGGATTGACAACCCTGCTTCATGTTGGTCTCTCCCCATCAATTTTTGTTTCCTAAAGGGATCTCTGTCTAATTAAGGAATGGAGTGTTTAACGAATAAATAAGTTTCGAAAATTCATTCTCATGTTCAAATTGTAATACTATACTACAACCTCAAAGGAACTTATTGGCGCTTGATTAATTACTATATTATGTTTATTATCAGATTTTAAAAATGAGATTAATCAATGAATATAACGCAAACAAATAGCAAAAGGTCCATATTTTTTAAGGGCTCAATTAGAATAGAACAAATAGTTCAAGGATTAACTTGTACCTTTTCCACCTTCATCTAGTTGATTGATTCCTGAAGCAAGGCAAGCATCCAATCCTCCACCATATGCCATTGACGAAATAATTTTTTTCTTTATATAGAATATCGGTGAAAGAGAAATATATTTCAAAACTTATCAGAATAGTTTCATGACAAAATTGAAGGAAGTTGTACTCAATTTTCCTACTCCATAAGGAGAAATTAATGAGGTTATTTCTTCATCAAGTGTATGGTTTCTTTTGTGTTTCTCGTCATGTCATCTTGCACATTTTGCAAGAGGCAATAGAAATCTCTTTGCATTAATATGAGTAGCCTTATTCAAATAAAATCTTCAATCATTTTATCTATCACATAACTTAACTTAAGAATAATGCACTGTAGTAATTAAAAAACTTGTGTTTTTTTGCTGTTCCTTCTTGGTACTCTTCTTTTATCTAAAGTTTGTTGGCTTATAAGAAAAAAAAAATGAATTTCAAATCAATCGATCCCATTGTTGAACCTAGGGGATCACTAGGTGGCCGCTAAACATGTAAGATTGAATCTTTTGTTAGATTTTGCTACAGAGAAAGGCCATTGAAGTACGAAATTAATGAGTCATCCCTCTCATGTACATGATTGTTATGCTCATGGGGATGGGCTCAGCCTCCGTTACTTTTCCACACATGATTATGAGTGTGACCTACCACTTAGGCACTTACTACATTCCTTCCAAATGTTTGCCAAATTATGCACAATAGGCCATCTAATCCGTTCAGGTCAGGCTATAATTATTCACTGAATGTAATTAGCATTTGATAACTCGTCTTGTTATGAATGTTTAGGGAAGAAGAAGCTCTATTGCTTCCTGACCTGAAAATAACACACAGCCGTGTGTATGGTATTTCCATTACTTTTTACAAATAAATGATTGATTATCGGTCCTGATCAATACAGAATAACATGTAGATGGGCAGTACGTAGATTTTTCTACTGAAGTTTTATAACTTAATCCTATGATTTGTCTCAATTTTTATGTTCGCTAGTCAATTATATGTGCTCTTGTATTTTAAATTCAATAAATTTTTTTATGTCATCTAATTTAAATAAACTGAGACCAGTTATTACAATTTATTTGAATGTTAATGCTAATTTTAGGTTATATGGTATTGAGTGGATTCAATCAATACAAAAAGAGAAACACAAAGTAAAAAGAGAAATACACAATGGATGACACGTCCGAGGTTAAGAAAAAAGAGAAAGAAAGACAAAAATGCCAGAAGAATCCTAAAATCCTATTTGATTCCCTACTCCTTTATATAAACTTGAAGCTCCAATTTGCCCCTTTCTTTCTCTAACTCGTTATATCTACAAAAGCAAAGGCTCAATTTACATTTTCTCATTTAATATTGTCTCTTTTTTTCCCACTTTGTCTCGTGCATGTCAGTCTTTTTGTCAGTCTTTTTATTTTTTAAACTTTGTATCTCTCATCTAACTAGACCCACTTAATGCCATGTTATTTAAAATTAATGTATGATTTAGAGAAATTTTAGTATCAATTGAATCAAATTATATAATATAAAGGCAAATTGACTAAATTGAAAATATATAAATTAATAAAATTGATGGCTAAACACACACACATATATATATATATGCAAACTATAGGGTTAAGCTAGAGTTTTATTCTACTTAAAGTTTGCTTGTATTACAATGCTAACATCAATTTAATTTATTTATTTATTCCGATTATGGTTATAAATGAGAGGTTCGAATTCGAGAGTTTTTTTGAGATAAGAAAACACTATTGATTAATAATATCAAACATCACAAATGCTATGCCTGATACTTGTGATACGGCACTCGTTAATGGTTGAGCTTAACTTATTGACAACATCAACTTAATTGATTAAAACACTTTTCCCCACAAGCTTTCCGATTGCAATTAATTCAGAACAAGTGGATATATAAGTTAACGTCTGTATAAAGAGCAAGCCATGATTTCCACTCACTATAGCTCCAACGTTTTCTCTACTTTTCAAATTTCTGTACCCAAAGATTTTCATCTCATTATCAACATGAGGTCAGCCATGAAATATTGCCTGACATGATTAAGACAAAGTAAGGAGCTCATTTACGTAGACATGATGAGTTGTTACATGCAATTTGAAAAATTGTTAAACAAACCTGGTTTATCCTTTCGAATATTTAATAAATCAAGGATTAATATCTTCATTTTCTTTAATTATATTTTAAACTGATTTCTAATCTATCTTTTTGGTCAAAATTTCTAATAAGTTTTTAAAAAAATTAATTTTGATATTAATAGATATAGATCGTTTGTGCAAAATAACAAAAATAATGTCTGTTAAATTACGTATTATAAGTAAATTACATGTTTATCTAACTTAATTTACTCATAAATTTAACTAGAAAGATAGATTAGAAATCATCTCAAAATATAAAAACAGATTAGAAGTTTTTTTTTTTAGCAAATTGAAAAATTAACTTATTATATGAACATGTGAGGATATTAATCCATAAATTAAAGCATGATGAATCATAAGCTTTTAATTAATTACGGACTTCCCCTTGGAAAAATAATGAAGGCAGCTATAAATTACTTTATTATATTCATTTGACTCTCGAAAAATTTACTTATGATTTTCTAAAACTATCTACTAAAATAGATCTTATAAATTACTTTATTTTATTAATTTAAAGTCATAATTCATGTATATATTTAGTCGTGGTTATATTAATTAGTGACAATTGTGATATATTTTTACTGGCATTGAAATAGTAATTATTTTTTAAATACATCAATAAAGTTCTATCATAATTTCCTCCCTCTAAAATTAATATAGTTGCTTTATGGTTAAACACGAGCGCATGACCAAGTCAATTGCTTGAAATGTCGTATAAAATGTAGTTAAGGTGCCATTTTACTCAAATTGACGGTATAGCTCTCAAACAGTTGCCACTATTCCATTCTACCATATCTTAATTATCTTTAAACCGTTTGAAAGTGTTTCTAGAAGTCCTCACAAAGATCGTCAGAAATGGTCCTATTATAAATATACCTGATAGAAACCAGGGACTACTGAATTTATTCTTCATTAAAAATAAAAAAAATCGAAAAGAAAAAGAAATAAGGCGATTGATCATGACCTTATGACTACCTCCATTCCCCAAAGAAAACAAATAAAATGGTGTATCCTAATTGTTTTGTTGCTTAGCATGGTTGGAACAAAGCTTCAGACTTCATGGGGATCTCTCGGAGGAATTCTCAACGTTGAAATGAAAATAAAAGATGAAAAAAATAGAAAATTGTAATGTATAATTATGACCAAATTTTTTTTCATGCTATCGTTAAAAAGATTATTGTCCCATTATATTGTTTTAGAGATCTTGACAACTTTTTATATAAAAAAAATTACTGACAACACTTTTCAATTTTTTTCTAGATAATTTTTCTAAAAATTATAAAGTTTTACAAAAAATTTAGACGAGGATTGCGGAAGAAAGAATAATAATGTGAATTGTCCTGCAATTGTCTTCAATTTATAGTTTATTAGAACTTTTACATAACAAAGGCAATCGTTGCTCTAGATTTTTTTCATAACAATTATAATTGTTAGGTTAGAACTTTTTGTAACAATAATGACTGTTCAATTGCAAATCTTTCGTACTTTTTTCATTACTTTTAATTTATTATATATCGAGATTTACAACGTTCAATAATCAAGTCAACTGTACATGTTTTGTAGTCAATAACTCAAATCATATAATGTACATGGCCACTTGCTCGGTTCAATTTTGTATACGTAGGCCATTTTTTTTTTTTTTTTTTTTGGTACAAACAGGCCAGATTTTACATGAAAGTCAATCATCTGGTACCCGTGTCAAAGAAAAACTCAAAGAGCGCCAAAAAGGAGCTGGGTTTTATTGGGACAGCACAAAATCAAAAGGAAAGCGAAAAAAGATGGTGTTAGAGGTGGGAATCAAAATCACATAAAATCTTCTGGAATTATCCCACAAAACAAAAACTAGCAGATTTGTTTCCAGATACCCAGAAGATGCTCAAATCCACCTAAATATGGCCAAACAACGAGGCCTGCAAGCCACAAAGCTGACCCTTGGATTCCATTTTTGTAACATACGGCGAATAGTGACTGTATTATTCAATCACTGATAATATGAGTTAATCATAATGTAGTCGCTCTAATTTATCTGAACTAATGAATTAGTCCTTGTAGTTTTAAAATATAATCCTATTTTTTCGAATTCATCTATAAACTTAAGCATTTTCGTACATTTTATGTTTCTCTTCAATTTTGTTTTGTTTTAAAAAATATAAAAGAGAAAAAAGAGTAGATAATATAAAAAGATCAATGAAAATAAGGTAATTTTTAGAATAAAATACTATTAAATAAGGTATGATTAAAACGGAAGAAACTAATTAATTAGTTTTTAAAATTAAATAAACTATTTAATTTATTTTTTAAAATTGGAGGAATTAGTTTATATTTTATAAGAGCAGTGATACTAATCCCCATATTTCTTACATGTTGATTATGAAAAAAATAATGAGTTATAAAAACTAAATGGAAATTGGATGCGAGGAATTTTTTTTAAAAAAAAAATTCTTAAATTCAAAACTTGAAATCAGTATTCATGAAAAATCTATGAATTTAAATACATTAAACTAATATAAAAGACAGTAATTAAAATTGACCGAATATAAAAATTAATTTCAGATCACTTGTGTTTGATGGGGTCATATAATACCTGTATTATTTCAAAAAAATTTAACATAATATATATATATATATATATATTACCATCGGATATCAACCACGCGCCATTATATGAATGGTAACTAGACGTTCCCATTGTACAAGAACAACTAATAAGTGCCTCTCTGTTGAGATGGTCCACGACACGTTGCAATCTTTTCCCTTTTTTTCTGTTTGTTTCCTTCGATCGTGACTTAATTTTTGATCTTGTTTCTTGAGGTTATGAATTTGTTTTTGATGGATTCTTTTTTTTTTTTTTAGGGCATGGGGTCTTCTTTATTTCAATCTTTATCGTCTT